TGTGTGTGTGTGTGTGTGTGTGTGTGTGTGTGTGTGTGAAGGACGGTGCTAGGGATCCAACCTAGCACTTGGCACCTCATACATATTAGGCAGCTGCTCTGGCCCTGAGCTCTAGCCTCAGACTGGCATTTCTTCACTATTATGAAAATTGTAAATGCACACACACACACATTCATCTGCCAGCTCATGTCTTTTGGTTATTTTTCAAATTAAGATGAGACCGATGTCTTACATTAAGGATATATGGTTTAATAATTTATATTGCAGTTTCCAGTTTGTTTCCTCCCTACCCCAACCCCACAAACCACTTCTTCCTCAGGGCTGGGGATGTAGCTCTGTAGCAGAGTGCTTGCCTAGCATGTGAGGCCCTAGGTTTGGTCGATAGCAACACACAGGGAGAGGGAGGGGAGGGGAGGGGAGAGTTTCTGTCTCGGTTTTGTATTGAAAACCATTCACCATTTTTAGATAGCTGTCCCAGCAGGGTTCTAGTCATGCAATAATGATTTCCAGAAATCCATTTGTGGCTGCTTTTCAGACATCTTCCCTTTTCCCCACAGGAAAGCCATAGAAGAATTGCTGAAGGAGGCAAAGCGTGGGAAAACCAGAGCAGAGACAATGGGACCGATGGGCTGGTAAGTTCTTAAGTAAGCCTCCTTAAAACTTAAAAAACAAGCAACAACAAAACCAGGAGGCTGAGGCAGGAGGATGTCACAAGGGTGAGGCCAGCCTGTAAGTCTTAGCTGGAGAGAGCAGAATGTGAATAGAGGCTGCAAAGCCTTGGGTGCTGTGGGAATCGCCCAGAGGCTAGTGTAGGGTAAGACCGTGGAGAGCTGAGCTCGAGCGAGCACGGTGGGCAGCGGGCGTTCAGAGAACATGCCGTGGGTTTCTGCTGAGTTAGCTCACAAGGCAGCCGGGACTTGGCGATACCTCTGGGCCCGAAGAGCAGTATTGAACCTGTGACCATCACTGCTTTAGCAGTAGGACCAGCATTTACCCTGGAGTTTCTGTGCAGACTAGAAATGGGTTCAAAGTTGGAAATACGGGAGCAGGTGGGGGGCTCGGTGGGTAAAGGCGATTCTTGCCTGGCAACCTGAGTTTGATCTCAGCGCCGCACACAGTGGAAGGAGAGAACTGACTTCCTCAAGTCATCTTCTGCCCTCCACAGCACACAGAATAAATAAATAGACTGTAAAATCATATGCGCAGAGGACGAACTTAACTGTAAGACCTAGTTCCGGTCTGTAGGCATGCCTTTAGTAACAGCATCCAGAAGCTACTCTCTGCAAATGTGCTGATGCCAGGTCTTCTCTACGGTTAGCATTGGCCACAGTGGAACACAAGGGTAAACAAAAGCTTGAGCTCCCTCTGTGTCTTGTGTAGTGTTTTGTTTCCCACACCCTTTATATCACTTCTTCTTTTGAGATTTTCATACACGTATACAACGAAATATGATCATATCTGTCTCCAGTTTTCCCCTCCCAACTCCCCCCATATCCCACCCCATGTCCCCCCTCCCAACCTCTTATCTTCTTTTTTAAACAACCCACTAAGTCTAGTTAGTGCTGCCCATATGTGTATGGGCCTGTGGCCATCCCCTGGAACACGGGAAGCCTGACACCCTTCCTTCCCCCGGCCAGCCTGTCGGCCTCCCGGAGCTGCTCAGTGAGGCCTGGGGCCCAGAGGTTGCCTACCCGACCTGTGCGAGAACACAGCTGCTCTGGGGTCATGAGTGCGGTGCCACGTCATGGCCGGAAGACAGCTTTCACTCGCTCCTCTCCGTTTCTCAACGGTTTCCTTTCTGCCCGTTTTTATTTTATAGGTGTGGGTGTTTTGCCTTCATGTATGTCTGTGCACCACATGTAAATGCCTGATGCCCAGGGAGGCCAGAAGAGGGCGTCAGATCCCCTGGCACTGGGGTTATGGGCAGTTGTGTGGGTGCTGGGAATAGAACTCCAGTTCTCCTGCAAGAGCAGCCAGTGGCCCTAACCACTGAGCCATCTCTCCACCCTTTGTTTTGTTTTTGAGACAGGGTCTCTTGTATCTCAGGCTACCTGTAAGCTCCCCAAGGAGCCGAGAATGACTTTGAATGTTTTTAAGACTTACTGTTTTCAGTTGTGTGTATGATGCACATGTGTGCAGGTGCCCTCTGGCCAACCCTTGGGGCTGCAGTTAGAGGCTGCTCTAAGCGGCCTTGTGTGGGTGCTGGCAATCAAACCGTGGTCTTCTCTACAAGCACAGTGTGTGCTCTTAACCCCTGAGCTGTCCCTCCACCACCTTGATTTTAAAATTCTGACCCTACTGCCTCCACCTCCTAAGTGTTAACATTACAGGCATGGGTTTCTGGGGCTCTAACCCAGGGCTTTCTATAAGCCAGCTAGGCAAGTGCTCTGCCAACTGAGCTACATTCCGGCCCTTTGTTTTGTAACTTTTAGAAACATGCACATATTTTTCATAAAATATAGGCTAAATTAAATCAAAATAAAGAAAAAATTCCTAACTCCTCAAAATCAAGCAAATAGCCCTGAATAAGCCATTGAGTGGGTATCTTAGCCCAGAGGCACAAAGGAAGGAAGTATTTCAAATGATCTAAAATCTGACTGTATTTCTAGCACCTGATACCTGAGCACCCTGGGGTCAGTGGCTCCACGTCTATCCATTGAGAGTGGTGGGGCGCTGCCCTACTCTGAGCTCAGGTGAGAATGTGGGTGTCCTGAAAACATGGTGCAGTAAGGTACAGTTCAAGGTCAGAGCCAGAGAAGCAGCAACTTTATCTCCCATCCTAAATTAGCATTGAAACTATTCACAGGAAGTTGTATTGCGTTATTTTTCAGATAACACTTGTTTAGTTCTGAGACCCCTAGAAATGCTGACTGCCCAGCCTTTAGCAGTGAGCTCTGGTGCCAGCCTGTTATCAAAGTACTGTTTCTCACTAAAAGGAGACAGGGTTCCTAAGGACCCATTGCTTGCACATCTGCAGCCTTGCTCAGGATAAGCCAGTCTGTAGGGTCGGAGGCCACAGCCGGCAAGATAGCCTTCGTTTCTCATACCAAGATTCCCAAAGTGCCCTCAGGCTTCGGCGGTTCACTAGAACTTACAGAGTTGCTAGAATCTGGTACACTTGTGGCTTCAGGTTGTTACAGGAAGGGATACAGATTAAATTAAGGCAGGATAAGAGGCCCGAAGCAGGGGATCTGGGAGGGTTCAAAACCAGAAGCCTCTCTGCCCCTCCTCTACGGAGTCAGAACATGCTGCCTACCCCAGGGCTGCGAGGACTGGAATGATGCCAGTCAAGGAAGAGCCGTGAATCCTAGTGTGCAGAGTGTTTATTGTGGCCCCTTGTGGAGGTGTGATTGATTGATTGATTACATGGTTGACTGAGTGTTTACATGGTTGACTGGTTGAGTACGTGGTTGATTTTAGTTTCCAGGTTGACCTGTATCACATGACCTAAAGCTCTCGCCTTATGTCAACATAGTTGATCTTTCTTGTGTGACCAGCCCTGCTCTAAGACTGGAAGGTGCAGCCAGCTCCACCCTCAACAAAGACATTTCTATCACGTATGATGTAGATTAGTTTCCAGAAGCTGAAGGCAAAGGCCGCCCTCCCTTTAGGTCAAGCCAAACTCCTACTCCACGGGAACAAACGCTGTAAGGTCTGGAAAATCCTGTCATGCCAGAAAGCAAAGAAACTGTCAGAGACTAATATCAGGTTGGAAATCTCTGGAACCAGTTTGAAGTCAAAGATGGAATAATTTGATCAAAAATATGAAATAACAATGATTGAATCACCCAAGACATGTTGAAACTCTTAAGGCTGTGTGCTGGCTGGTTTTATGTCAACTTGACACAAGCTAGAATCATCAGAGCAGAGGGAGGGAGCCTCAATTGGGAAAATGCCTCTAGAGGAATAGGCTGTAGGCAAGCCTGTAAGGCATTTTCTTAATTAATGATCAACAGAGGAAGGCCCAGCCCATTGTGGGTGGTGCCATCCCTGGGCTGCTGGTCCTGGGTTCCATAAGAAAGCAGGCTGAGCAAGCCATGAAAAACAAGCCAGTAAGCAGCACCCCTCCATAGCCTCTGTATCAACTACTGCCTCCAGGTTCCTGTCCTGACATCCTTTGATGATGAACTGTCATGTGGAAGTGTAAGCCAAAATAACCCTTCCCTCTCCAACTTACATTTGCTTATAGTGTTTAATCATACCAATAATAACCCTAAGGCAGGTTGTAAGAAATATCACAGGTTCAGTCCATTATCATTATGGTGGGGAGCATGGTGGTATGCAGGCAGACGTGGTGCTGGAGAAATAGCCGAATATCCTACATCTTGCAGGCAACAGGAAGTTGACTGTCACACTGAGGAAATCATGAGCAAAAGAGACCTCAAAGCCTCCTGCCACAGTGACACTCTTCCTCCAGCAAGGCCACACCTCTTAATAGTGCCACTCCCCTTGGAGGCCATTTTCTTTCAAACCGTCCCAAGCCCCAAACTGGAAAGAGTCCAAATGGCCATCACCTCACACATGGATAAGCAAGTTGTGGTTGTACCCTTAAACCCACACTGCCCAACGGTGTGGAGAAACAGCATGGTTGAGATAAACTGCCCGGATGAATCTCAGGAGTGTTAAGAATCCAGACACAGAACATGATAGTGTATGGTTCCATTTATTTGGCTTTATAGAGATCCCAAACTAGGAACATCACCAGTTGTTGGGAGATAGAGGGTTAGAGAAGAACTCACAGAATGTTCTGTATCTTGACTGTGTCTTTGTCAAAGCCCAGAAAACTGGTCACTTTAGTAGATAAACGTGAGGACTGGAGAGAAGGATTAGTGGTTAGGAGCACTGTTGTTCTTCCAGACCTGGGTTCCCAGCACCCACGTGGTGGCTCACAACCACCTGAAATGCCATTTATGGGAGGAGGGGGCGTCTTGGCCCCCTCTTCTGGTCTAATAGGCACCAGGCTTGGTCATGGTGCACATACACATATGCAGGCAGACACTGGTACACATAAAATCCATCTTTTAAAAAGAGGTAAGCTGTGTGCAGATGACGCCATCATGCACATCTTTAAAAAGGGGGCTGGGGACTTGGCTCGGTTGTTAAGCACTTGCCTAGTGTACACAAAGTTCTGTGTCTGATTTCCCAGGATGGCAAAAACGTGCAAACTCCAGGATTTGATTGAGTCCATTCAGAGACCCTCAATGGCTGCTGAATCCGTCACGTGAAAAGTGATGGAACACTAGCTTTGGTTTCTAATACTGTGATAAAACATCATGATCAAAAGCAACTTGGGGAGAAAAAGGTTTATTTCATCTTACAACTCTCAGGTCACAATCCTATCCCTGTGGGAAAACAGGGCAGGAGCAGATGCAGAAGTCATGGAGGTGTGCTGCTTACTGGCATGCTCAGCCTGCTTTTTTTTTTTTTGTTTGTTTGTTTTTTGTTTTTTGAGACAGGATTTCTCTATGTAGTTTTGGAGCCTGTCCTGGATCTCGCTCTATAGACCAGGCTGGCCTCGAACTCATAGAGACTCACCTGGCTCTGCCTCCAAGTGCTGGAATTAAAGGCTCGCACCGCCACCATCCACCTAGCCTACTTTCTTATAGAACCCAGGACCACCAGCCCAGGAGTGGCCCAGTGCACTGGGCCCTCCCACATCAGTCATCTGTCAAGAAAATGTCCTACAGGCCAGTCTTGCCTGTGGAGGGAGGCCTTTTCTCTATTGCAGTTCCCTCTTGGATAACTCTAGCTTGTGTCAAGTTGATGGGGAGAAGGGTCACTTCTGCTGCATGTTGGGTTGTGACATATCCAACTGTATTAGTGATTTTTTTTAAAGATTTATTTATTTATTATGTATACAGTGTTCTGCCTGCCTGCATCCCTGCAGGCCAGAAGAGGGCACCAGATCTCATTACAGATGGTTGTGAGCCACCATGTGGGTGCTGGGAATTGAACTCAGGATCTCTGGAAGAGCAGCCAGTGCTCTTAACCTCTGAGCCATCTCTCCAGCCCATGATTATATTTTAGGGTGCTGGGGATAGAGCCTGTTTGGCCTTACACACTGGTAGGCAAGCTCTCTTCTACACAGTCACAGCGATAGCCCTCACATGGGCGATTCTTCACAAAAACTATAATAAAAAGAACATACACACACACATAAGACACCCTGGTCAAGATGCTGAGCCAGGGTCTGGTCCATTTCTAAAGGTTGTAATCACAGCATCCAAGATGTAGGATTTTACAGGTCAAGGAAGCGGTGCCTTTAACAAATGGATTACAAGAAAAAGAAAGATCCTGTGAATTAATAGACTTGAGGAACATTAAATAAGATGCTTTGTTAGGATCTGACGCATTTATCTAATTATTCTTTATCAATAAAAACTTCGGAGTCTGCCGGGCGGTGGTGGTGCACTCCTTTAATCCCAGCACTCGGGAGGCAGAGCCAGGCGGATCTCTGTGAGTTTGAGGCCAGCCTGGTCTACAAAGCGAGTTTCAGGAAAGGCGCAAAGCTACACAGAGAAACCCTGTCGTGAAAAAACCAAAAGGAAAAAAAAACTCGGAAGTCAGATATTGGGGTAAGAACCTAAGTGATTAGAGAAGCAGCAGAGAAGCGACCAGTGATCTCCTCTTTCTCTCATTTTTCAATCCCCAAAGACCAATTCTCTCTAAGCCCCGCCCTACTACTACTTCCTGTGTTTCTGTCCTCAGTCCTCCAAAACCTCTATGGCTAATTTTGGTCAGCTGGTAACTCTGGCCCTCCACCCTCTGATCCAAAGCAAACTTTACTGGCAGTCTCAGAGCGTCCGAATGCAGTCAAAGTATCAATCACACAACAAGGATCCTTGTTCTACTGGAGGGTTGGAGATGGCTCGGTGGTTAGAGCATGGCTGCTCTCCCAGGGGACCTGGGTTCGGTTCCCAGCACCTACACAGCAGCTAATTCACAACTCTAACTCCAGTTCAGGGGATCTGATGCCCACCTCTGGCCTCTCAGGCCCCAAGCACACATGGTGCACAGACGTACAAGCAGACAGAATACACGTGAAAATAAATCTTTAAAACTTTTACAAATAAAGTAACTATTAAAAGATGCTTCAGGGCTGGGGGATGGACAAACTCAGATGGACAAGCTCCTTGACTTGCAAGCATGAGGACCTGAGTTCGAGCCCCAGAACCCATGAAAAAATGCTGAGTTTGGAAATGGGTGCTTGTGATCGCAGGGGAGGTCGAGACGGCTTTCCTGGCCAGCCAGCTTAGCCTAACTGGCGAGGTGCAGCCAGTGAGAGACTTGTCTGAGAGGAGGTGAACAGCATTTAACTAAGCTACTCACTTGTAAACTGTGGTTTGTTTGTCGAAGTTCACAGAAAGGCTTTATTTACTCAGAATGGTTTTTAAATTTTTAAATAGAACTTGGGTGGGATTGTTCAATTTTGACATTCCATAAGAACAATCATAGGAACTTGAGCAGGGCCCAGACAGAGGCTGCTGAGCTAGAGAAGTGTGAGCAGGACGCCATTTTATTTTGTACAGAAAGGGAGCATTTGGTGCTAGGCACGGCCTTGGGTGCGTTTCAGCAAACACACATTTGTGCTTGCCTAGCTTCCTGGCCTGCAAAGCCATCTTGTTCTGGCCACATGCACGTCAGCTTCTCTGCAGCCCAGTGTCCTCCATTCTGACGCTGGAGGGAAGGACCAACGGTTGAAGGGTCCCTGGAGCGGCAGCCTGTAGTCTCGAAACATGGTTGTTCTACGGTAAATGCTGGGTGCTTTTCTGAAGGGGCTGGCGTCGTCTGGAGACGGAGGAAAGCATTTACGTTACGATGCTGCCTTTTATGCAAACATCAGCTTTTTACTTTCTGTGCTGGGAGTTGAGCCCGGGGCCTCGTACACACTGCTCAGCTACATCCCCAGCACTCCTGGGAATGGTTGATTACTGCAAGGCAAAGCTTCTCTTGCCCAGTCTCCATGCAGACATGCAGTTTTCCAGATCCGTTTGGACTTGCTGCTTGTAGGTAGTCCAGGCGGCTGGCATGCCAGTGGATAGACAAGAGGAAGTGATCCCAGTTCAGTTCAGCCAGGAGGCTGGGAGGGTGTGCTTCCCTGGCTGCTGGTCACTAGCCACCTAGACTGTGGTGGGTTTTCCCCGATTCTGCCGTAGCCAGGCTGTGGTGGTGTCTGTAGTCTCCCGAGGTGACACTGTAACGTTCAGACACATGACCATTGCACCATCTTTCCAGGGTCCTGCTGTACCATCCCGACCAACCTGTACTTGAATTGTTGCATGCCGCGGGCTGGCCTCAGACTCACGGCAGTCCTCCAGGCCCATGCATGGCCGGGAAAGCTGGACCAGCTCTGGAGCTTGCTTCTGTGCGAGCTGAGTTCTTTTGTGCTGATCTGGATAGTGGGTCAGCTTGGGAGGGAATTAACGCTTGTTTATGATGTTTCCTCTCTCTTCTTCCACAGGATGAAGTGTCCTCTTGCTGGTACAAATAAAAGATTCCTAATTAACACAATTAAGAACACATTGCCCTCCCATAAAGAGCAAGACCATGAACAAAAGGAGGGCAGCAAGGAACCCGGCCACAGCCAAGACCAGCAGGAGACCAGCTCCAAGAAGCACAGAAGCCACTCCTCCAAGCGCGGCCTGCACTCGGCCCGGGGCTCCGTGGGCCACTCGCCCCCCAGGAAGCGCTCCTCCCGGGACAAGTGCGACTCCCGAGCCAGCAGGCGATGAGTGGAGCCCAGGGCAGCCCAGTGCTGTGCCTGCACTGGGTCAGTGAGGACAGGGCGGTGGCAGGGCTCTGACACCCGAGAATGACTCTCCAGGGGGTCCTTTGCCATCATCATAAGGTGGCTGCTGTTGTGTTGTTTTTGTTGTTAACAGGAAAAAACAAAAAACCTTTACCAAACAAACCTTCCCTCCCTTGTCCTGAAGGTGTCATGGCGAGAGTCAGTGGACATAGCATCGCCATGCACATCCGTGTTGTTTTTATCCCGTCTTGTTTGCAAGTTAGCTTCAGAACAAGCCGTGCTAGGAATTAAAGTTTTCAGGTTGTTGAAAACCAGTCCCAGTTCTTTGATGTGCTGCACCTCTGGGGCCATTTCCCAGGTGTGCTGCACCTCTGGGGCCATTTCCCAGGTGTGCTGTACTTTTGTGGCCATTTCCCAGGTGTGCTGCACCTCTGGGGCCATTTCCCAGGTGTGCTGCACCTCTGTGGCCATTTCCCAGGTGTGCTGCACCTCTGGGGCCATTTCCCAGGTGTGCTGCACCTCTGGGGCCATTTCCCAGGTGTGCTGCACCTCTGTGGCCATTTCCCAGGTGTGCTGCACTTTTGTGGCCATTTCCCAGATGTGCTGCACCTTTGTGGTCATTTCCCAGATGTGCTGCACTTTTGTGGCCATTTCCCAGAATTTCTCAAAACAAAATAAAATACTTAGAAACGCTCTGCTTCCTCGTTTAGATGTCAGAGGCTAAGGTCGCAGTCTGACCAGTGTCATCCTGACAAAACTGGCCACACCGTGTGTTTTCTAGTGACTGACGGGGTGAGGAGCCCTCACACAGCTTTGACTTGATGCTGCGGGTCAGCTTTGCCTAGGGTGAGAGAATTTCTCTGTACTTACATTTAGATATTTATGGTTTGGATGGTTCTTTTCAAAGAACCCTCAATAGTTAAAAATACAGTTATTTTACCAGTAGATAGCAAGCCTGCCTGTGCTGATCTCAGGCACAGCTGAACTCCTGAAGGTGGCGGCCACTGGGTCTGGACTATACAAGACCAATGTACAAGGAAAAGCGGCAAGACCCTGGCCTGCCTCTAGCACGTGCAGTGCAGTCTACTTGTCTTCATCGGTCAGTCAGCCAGGGCTCACTCGGAGAACCAGGCATGAAAGAGCAAGTACCTGTTAGTGCTGCACGAACTAGTTCACCACCGCCCAGAGGTCAGGCTGTGAGTCTGCCGTATTTAAAGTATGTGCTTCTTGTTCAGGACAACATTTGCTTCCTCCTGAATGTTTGGGGTACCCCCCCCCCCACTGCCAGGATTCCCGCCTTCCATATTAGTGAACTGTCCAGTAAATGGCTATGGAGTCTCTCATTTTCATAAAAAAACAAAAACAAAAACAAAACAAAACAAACATATCTTCAGTCCAGTGAGGTGACTCCGTGGGTAAAGGTGCTTGCCACCAAGGCCGATGACCTGAGTTCAATACCTAGGAACTACACAGAAAGAGAGAGCCAACTCCTGCAAGTTAGCCTCTGTCCTCCACACACACACACACACACTGACCTCTGTGTACATACACATGCAAAATAATCAAAAGGTAATTTTTAAATCTCTTAAAACTCAAAACTTTCAATTTAACAATTTCTGATCTGATGACTCAAATATGTTCATCTCCTAAATATTACCAAAAGACGTAACAATAACATCTGAGACATATTAAATGGGGATTAATGGCAGATGAAACTTTGTATTAAAATGACATAGCAATACATAATCTGCATAAACTACAGAAAGAAATAATTGGGCTGAAAGAAATGACCAATGAGTATTGGAGCAAATTCAGATGATCAAATACACTCACAGTTGGTGTCTCTAGAGATAGGGATAAGTTGAGAAAAAGATTTGCAGAAATATTGACAAAGTTTTCCAAATATAACAAAATCTAAGCCAAATTGATGGCTCATCCTTATAATTCTAGCACTTCGGCAAATGAGGCAGGATTGTTGTAAGTTCATGGCCAGCCTGGGCTACATAGTGAGTTCTAGATCTTCCCTGGGCTACAAGTGAGATACTGTCTCAAAACAAATAATAAAAACCGTGAATGGACAAATACAAAAGGCACCACAGACTCTAAGAAACACAGACATGGAGAAGGCACAGCAAGACACACGTGATGGATAATCCCAACTGTCAACTCGGTAGACTGAGAGGAGGAATCTAGGAGGTGAACGGAGCACGCCCGTGTGTGTGCACCTGTGAGGGCGTTCCCAGAGGTGATGTGGGCTGTGCCACCATCCTGTAGCTGAGGACCCAGACAGGATAGCAGTTCAAGGGGGAAGGAGAGAGCCCACAGAAAGGCCTTCCCGTTTATTCTCCCTCTCTCTCTCTCTCCCTCTCCCTCCCTCTCTCTCTCCTCCCTCCTCAAGTTCTCCTATTTAAATATTATACCACATCCAAGAACTTGCCTCAGTCTCAGAGGAGACTCGGAACTTGCTAACACTGTTGGGACTGTTAAGACCATGGAGGCTCTTGGAGGTGTGCTGTGTGTATTTTGTGTTTGTGAGCCTTTTGGAGGGCAGATCTAAAATCTGTGATCAAAGGAGATTGGTGTCGAGTGGACACAAGGTAAACTTGTTGGTCATCAAACTGGATTGTTAAAGTGATTGGCTTGAGAAGCACCTGGGAGATGATCAATACTTACCTCTGGCCTGTGTGTGAAGATGTTTCCAGAAAGAGTTGACTAAAAGGGGAAGCCTGTCCCTGAACCAGCCTGCAGGTTACAGACCTGGATAGAATAAAAACGGGGAAAGGTGGCGGCGGCGGCGGCGGCGGCGGCGGCGGCGGCGGCGGCAGCGATGGTGAGGGCAGGGCCTTCATTCCCAGCACTCGGGAGGCAGAGGCAGGCAGATCTCTGTGAGTTCGAGGCCAGCCTGGTCTACAGAGCGGGTTCCAGGACAGCCAGGGAGACACAGAGAAACCCTGTCTCAAAAAACAAAAAGTGGGAAAAGAATGCTGTGGATACAGATATTTTCTTTCAGCTTTCTGGCTCCCACGAGGCAAACTCTGCCCCACCTTACCCTCCCTCCATAATGAACTGAACTCTGAAACTGAGATAAAAAGTCTGGTTAACACAGTGGCTAAAATCCAAACCACTTTAAATCATTGGTGAAGAGACATGAAAAACAAAGGAAAATACAGTACATTCAGAAAAAAAAATAAGGATAAAGGATGTCAGAGCTGAGTGTGGTGACTCATACAAGAAATCTCAGGACTTGGGAGACTGAGGCAGGAGAATTACCATGAGATTTTGAGGTCAGGCGGAGACACATTTTAAGTTCCAGGTCAGCCTGGCTGCAGAGTGAGACCATGTCTTAAGATAAACAACATGTCATCAGCACAGCAGAAACAGAAAGACAAGCTCACCAAAATACAAAAAGAAAATTACAATTGTCATCACAGAATTCGTCACCCTGTGAAGAATTTTTAAAGCAAAACGTCTTTGCTCATGTGCCCATCTGTAGTCCTCCACATCCCCCAGCCTCTGTACACAAAAGGCCCCAAGTGATGGGGTTTCACGGCTCAAGAATCTGAGCTCCAAGAACAGCTGCCCGAGCCCTCGTGACATGGCAGAGAAAGTACTGAGGAGAGCCACAGAGAGGCACTGTAGTCTTGGGATTGCTTTGTTTTTGTTTTTCATACTTTTTAAAAGGTACTTTGTTACAAAAATTACACATTGTTTTTATTTCTTAGGAGACAAAAAGAAGACAAAGTTGTAATAGAAGATTTGAAAAGGCAAATTCTTGGTACTCTTTTAATAGACAGGGTCTCATACATACCAGACTGGTCTCAAAGTTTGTAGTTAATGATGATCTTGAATTATAATCCTCCTGCCTCCACTTGCTGAGTGCTGGGGTTACAGACATGCACCACCACACCTGGTTTACACAGTGCAGAGAGCTCTATGCATCTAGGTGCCCTACCGGCCGAGGTACATTCCTTCTGCACTCCATATCATATGATTCTGGAGGGTCTAGCCAAGTGCCGTAATAACTCGATAAAACTTAGTAATAGAGCCGGGCGGTGGTGGTGCACGCCTTTAATCCCAGCACTCGGGAGGCAGAGCCAGGTGGATCTCTGTGAGTTCGAGGCCAGCCTGGGCTACCAAGTGAGCTCCAGGAAAGGCGCAAAGCTACGCAGAGAAACCCTGTCTCGAAAAACCAAAAAAGAAAAAAGAAAAAAAAAACCTTAGTAATAGATCAGAATAGAGTAATTTAAACTCTTGATTTGCAGTTGACGTGCTTCTCCATATAGAATTTACTATAGCATCTTCCAGGACTATTGGCTCAGAACTAAGTAGCTATCAGAACTTTTAGGGAGTTTCCTGTGGGAGCCAGGGGTGGTGGCGCACACCTTTAATCCCAGCACTCAGAAGGCAGGTGGATCTCTGTGAGTTTGAGGCCAGGCTAGTCTAAATAGTGAGTTCCAGGGCAGCTGGGCCTACATGGAGAGACCCTGAAAAAAAAGTTTAGTGTAAGGCTAGACAGATGGCTTAGAGCAGGGATTCTCAACCTTCCTAATGCTGCAACCCTTTAAGACGGTTCCTCATGTTGTGGTGACCCCAACCGTAAAATTATTTTCGTTTCTACTTCTTAACTGTAATTTTGCCATTGTTATGAATCATAATGTAAATATCTGATGTGCAGGGTATCTGATATGTGACCCCTGTGAAAGAGTCACTCGACCCCCAAAGAGGTTGCAACCCACAGGTTGAGAACCACTGGCTTAGAGGCTGAAAGCCTGGGTTTGATTCTCAGCGCCCTTATCGGGCAGCTCACAACTGCCTGTAACTCCAGTTTGGGGAGAATCTGATGCCCTCTTGTGTCTCCAGAGCCACTACACACACGTGGTGCACATATAGACAAAAAGGGACACACACACACACCCCACTCAGGCGCACACAGTAATAATAAATTAACATGAAAAACCAGTCAGTGCAGTTCTGCTTCCCAATATTCGTTCCACAGTAATACCTCCCAAAAAGTGTGAATTAGGGGACTGGAGAGATGGCTCAGCAGTTAAGAGCACCGGCTGCTCTTTTAGAGGACCTGGGTTCAGTTCCCAGCATCCACATGGCGGCTCTCAACTCATGGGATAAATCCATGGAGTCTATTTAATGATCAAAGGAATTTTGGGGGGCGGGATAAACTCACAACCACGGAGACTCATCATAGGGTCCAGGTAAGCTGAACTATGTCCCACACTGCATGACTTGATCCAAGATCTCCGCATCCAGAACCATGAGGTAGCCAAGAGGGGCCAGCATACGTGCATCCCAGGCTTTAAGGGTCCCCGGTGGCCATGCCCCAGAGGCAGGGACCTCAAGGTCACGGGCAGGTGGAACAGCTACAGCTGCCTCTCTGGGGAGGTGCTTCCGGGTTTGGCTCCGGGTTTGGCTCCGGGTGCGGCTTCGGGTTCGGCTCCGGGTGCGGCTCCGGGTTCGGCTCCGGTACGACTCCAACAGCTCCCACTGCGCTCAACCAGTCCCAGGGGATCTGGTGCCATTCCTGGGCTCCATGGGCACCTGGCATATGGTACCTAGACATACAAGTAAAACATTTTTACAAATAAAAAAATGTAGTATATATATATGGTTTTTCAAGACAGGGTTTCTCTGTCTAGCCCTGCCTGTCCTGGAACTCGCTCTGTAGACCAGTGTAGCCTC